GGACTCTATTGTCGTGAGCTAAGGACAATAACGCTACGGTCCTGCAGTAAGAGGGCAGCGTCTCCCACCAATGCTTGGGGGATCAATGCGCCCTATGAAAAAGTCTTAAATTAAGACGTCAACACCTGATTAGCTGTCTGAGCTGACAGAAACTGTGAATAACACACCTGATAATGCTTTTTTTCTTTTTCTTTTTTTTTTAATCTCCCATTAGAAGACCAAATATGAAACAGATTGTCATAATTAAAAGAATATGACAGAATTTACCAAAAAAAAAATATGACAAAACTGGATGGGAAAATGAATTTTAGTATATGAAATGTTCGAGAGTTTCTAGTACTAACAGTAGCAGTAGCCACCAAACATAGTGTCAATGTTGGTCCATCAAACATTGATGAGTGGAAATTAGTGTCAATGTTGGTCCATCAAACATTGAATGAGCTGGAAATTTTTTTTTTTTTTTTTTTTGAAAATGAAAATAATTTCAATAAAGATTAGCGCAAATTAAGTTAGGCTCAAATAATATGGAAATTTCAAACATTTAAGTTGAAAGAGTGGTAGTTTATAATTAAGTTCGTTTCATGCAAAATGCACCACAAATTGAATATTAAGTTATTACCGAACGTTTTAGACCTTGACTGTTTAAGTAATCAAATCAATTTTCACCTAAATTCCTATTTTGCCTTTTTTTTTTTTTTTTTTTTTCTTTTTTTTTTTTTTTTTTTTTGGAGACATATAATTCATAAGGTGAGTACGTACAATTGTGGGACCCAATTCTTATGAAATTTTTAATTATCTTTCAATAAAAAATTTTGTTTTGTTGTCAAAGTCTATGATTTTATATTTAACTGACTATATTTGTCATTGTTACACTTACACTATAGTTAATTAGCTTTTAGCTTTTCTGTCCTTTTCTTTTTGTACAATTAACAAAGTTAATATTTAATCATTTATTTATCTATTAAATATTAATATTGATTGACTATCCACCAACGTCCATGGGTCACCAATCGTCAAATATCAATTATCCGCTGATATAAATAATTAAATCACGTTAGCTCTGTATTTAGAGATAAAATCTGTCTGAGAATATATTTTACACCAATTAAATACTTTTCATGCTGGCAACCGCGCGTTTATTAAAAAAAGATAAAATGATTCCATTTCATTTACACATACGCAATTTTTTAAAAAATAAAAAAATAACTTGGTTTTGTTGTTTTCTTCTCCTTAGTTTTTCATTAGGCTATGGGTCTCCTCTTTTCGGTTGCTGTGGTAATCTGAGAACTTATGGTCTAAAAAGATCTTACGGTCCAGTGATTTTTCGACGACGATGATGATTTTGCTCGACATGTCGAAGATTTGAAGCGAAGTTTTGATGTAAGAGAGGATGAAGATGACCACAAAAATGATGATAATAACAAGAATGGTAGTTCTGGTTCATTATCATTGAGGATGATTGGTAAAAAGCAAAAATGGCAAGAGGGTTTTGTAGATGCTGGTGATTTTGCATACTGTTCTGTTAAGAAGGCCTTTTGTTCAATGGTTTTTATGATCAGAGAGCTTCAAAATTATGCATTGTCGATAAGAGGTAGAGTTTACAGTGAAGATTTACAAGCTGTGGTTAATAAGTTTCAGAAGGAAATGAATGCTTCCTTTGTTTCGCTCTTTCAGCAAGTCTTTTCAAGAACTCCAAATCTTATGGTTTATGTTATGCTTCTTTTAGATAATTTATTTTCTTTCTTTCATTGTATTTAAACATAATAATAGAAAATACTTATGGAAGGAAAATTAACTATTCCTTATTATTTTCGTCCGTTATTTTATTTTCTCTCCTTTCCAAATAAAAGTTTAAAGTTAGTGCTACTATGAGGTGGCTAATTACTATTAATAGAATAAAAAAAATTATCTTCCACCTGGCAATTGGATGTTAAATTTTTACAAGTAAGTTTCCTTATTGTTGGTATTATTAATTCTTATCTTCTTTTGGGTTAATGGTCTTTAAAAGATTAACTAAAGGGTTAGCTTTTTTTTTTTTTTTATTAAAAAACATAAATTATGATTTATGAGTTGTTGTCTATATTATATGCATAAAGTAAGGAACAAGGTGGAGATCTAAAGGCATAGTTTACTTATGGTAATTATTTTTAAATTTTGTTATAAAAAGTAAATAGAAAAGCATTCATATCAATTTGAAGATGTTACTCTAATTCTAATCTAAAGAATAAATTTTGATACTTATGTGTTTTTAGCATATATTATAAATAATAATTATTTATGAATAATCAATAATTAAATTAGCAACTGAAGACTAATTATAAATTACTAACTCTGTTCCACAATACTTGTCACATTTAGAATTTCACATCTCTTAAGAAAATTATTAAATTTGTCTAAGTTACAATAAATTATTGAGTAAATTAATTATATCACCCTTAATTTAATACTAATTCTTTAAGAAAATTATTAAATTGAAATAATAATTATTAATCATATACAAAGGGTAAACATAGAAAAAAAAATATCTACTATTCCTCAATACTTATCTATTAGGAAAATGATAGGTAAAATTTACCATTCAAACTATAATAACCAGCTTTCCCTCAATAAGTGTGAAAATAAAAATAAATTTATTTTCATATGACGAATAAAGAATTTAACTTCCATAAAAATTTAACATATTTTTTGATTAAATAATTAAATAAATATAGTTAATTGAATGCTATTAATTGTTAATAAAAATAATCAGATTAAAAAAGTAACCAAACATTAGAAAATTACATATCCTGAAAAATGTTCATGAATAAATAAATATGTTCAACTTCCATATAAATAAATGGATAAGTACAAACAAATATAATATAATGGATAAAAATGTTCATGAATCAGACATAAACCTGAAAAATGTCAGATTTTTTTTAAAAAAATAATATATACTGATCATATTTTTCTTTATAAATTGTAGCCTAGCCTAACTTGTATGAGAAAAAAAAAAAAAAAAAATGCTATTTCTTTTTTTTTTTTTTTTATGAGAAAAAAAAAAAAAAAGAATGCTATTTCTTTTTTTTTTTTTTTTTCTTTTTTTTTTTTTTTACTATTTTTAACATAATTGTCAAAGACAACCTCTAATTGTGTCACGTGATAAAGTAGATTAGGTTCCTTAGTTCCCTATGGGGGACAAGTGTACGCCTAAAATCTCCCTTCTTTCCCAGTAACCAAACAAAGAGGGCTAATCAAATTTAATTTTAAATTGTTGTTCTGTTCATTTAAAAATATAAATAGTTTAAAATTTTTATATAAATATTAAAAAAATAATCAACTCTTTTAAATTATAATAAAGTTATTATCTTAAAATAAAGAATAACTTAAAAAATTATTTATTATATTAAAAAAATATTATTTATTAGTTTTAAAAATATTCAAAATTATTTATATTTTAAATAAAATAATAATAATAAAACGATTTATATTTTGAGATCGATACACGAGTACGAATGATAGAACAAAATGCAAAGTAAAATTACTTTGGTTGCCCATCCCTTCTATTTATGTAATGTTTTTGGGGCCCTTTTACCCTTCCAATTGGATATGGAGTTTAAGTAGCCATAAATGCCCATATTGCCCTTACTCACAAACCTCTAACACAGGTGTCCCCTCCACCATGAAACCTTTAAAAGAACAATGACCTCAAAAGCTTACCATTATGGCTTCTCACTCATACCCTCACTTGGAATCCACCAAATCATCACACCTGTCATCATGCCTAATACATCATCATCAATAAAATTATTGGTTAATCATATTATGAATTATCTTTAGGCTTAATCATCTTTATCATCATCAACTCTTCATAAATTATACAAAATATTTTATCAATTTAGTCTCCATTCACATGATACCATTGTTGTCTTTTAAAAAAATGACTTATTATTTTGAATTCTCTTAGAGAAATTAATTATAAAAGGTATAAAGGTTGATTTCTTATGATTAATTCAACAATAATGAGATCTTGTATGAGATTCAAAGTAGTGGTTAATAAGTTTTGAATTTTGAATTTTATAATTTTATGGAAAAACATTTGAATAATTTATAGATTTACCTTTTGATATCATGCTATACAAAGATAAAATTTAATAATCAAATCATTTGATATACTTTTATGGAGAAAAAAAACAATTAATGATTTATAGATATGCAATCTTTTTCATATCATATTATATAAAGGCAATATTCAAATAAGTGATAAATTATAATCCAATGACCTATAATAATACTAAATTAGTTTATATCAACATTGTTAATTTAGTCATTTATAATGTAATATGCTTAAATATATTTGATTATTTTCTAAAAAAACAGATTCAATGACATTATGTAAATTCTATTATGACTTATTAAACAATATATATATATATATATATATTTGGGATTCTTTTGACTAGGGATTCTCTAAGTAGCTTCTAACTTAATGGTCTTTGACCCTAAAAACCAAAAAGGATAAAATATAAGGCAAAAGCATATCCAAAAAAAAAAAAAAAAATTAAGGATAAAATATAAGGCAAAAGCATATCCAAAAAAAAAAAAAAAAATTACAATTACCAATTATGGTAGGGAGGGAACTAATGAAGAATGAGCAATATGCAAAACCAATTAAAAAAAAAAAAAAAAAAATTACAATTACCAATATGGTAGGGGAGGGACTATGAAGATGAGCAATATGCAAAACCCAATTTGATTTTTGTATATTGAAATGGAATGTGTAAATCTAATATATAAATATATTTTTTAAAACATTCTTTGAGTTCTCCTCATCAAGATCTCATCCTCTACTACCATACTAAATTACTAAATTACCACACACATTCCTATGCACATGTAAAATGATAATATTCTTATGATTACCAAATTATATTCTCTCTCTATCTACATGTATTTCATTCATTCACTCTCTCTAGTGCTTGCTTTGTGTATTATATATAGCAGCAAAGCTAAAGTAGTAGGACCAAAAATACTAATAAAATAAAAAAATTTTTGATCTTTGATTTTAATATCTTCCATTTTCGGCATAACACACACACACACACACACACACCACCATTGCAATAGCCCAAAGCCAAATACTATTATTAATATTTATATACAAAAAGGAGAGAGAGGAAGAAGAGATCTCTTTCTCTTTCTCTATCTTCTATCTCTGTCTCTCTATATTTTCTTCATGTTTGTTGTAGCTCATTGTGGAAGAGTTGGTTAGTGTTGGGTTTGTTAGGCTTCTCTCTTTCTCTGTTTAAGGAGGTGTGGTGTGGGTTGTTTCAGAGGAAGAGCAGAGAAGAAGAGCTAGGCGTGGAGGTGTAGAAGAGGTAGCTATCAATCACAGGCTTGCCTCGGCAATCGTCACCGTTTATTGAAAAACGATTTTCAAGGTAAGTATTTTTTTGGTGTTTTCTCAACTGGGTTGTTTCCAGATTTTGAGATTTTGCGTCCCATCTCTTTGTCTCTTTGTGTTTTTTTGTTTCTCTCTCTAAGATAACATTGGGAGAGACGCGCACACACAGTGAAAGATACATACAAAACCCAAAACGCAAAACAATTCTTCTTTATCTATCTCTCTATCTCTATCTCTATATATCGTTCGCTTTCTTTGTCTCTTCGTGTAGCGTGTTGATAAAACTCTGTTTTTTTCCATGTGCAATGTGTCTGCAGATTCCATCTCCAAAGAGCTATAGTTCCATCCGTTGATTACCCAGAAGATGAAATGCCCTTCTTTACACGATTTGATCTCTCCTCTTCTTGTTGCTACTTGTTATTAGCTAGTGTTATAACACCACCGACTCGCTCATTTCAATCATCAACTCACCATTTTGAATAATGGGTATTGCCTTCTTGCTTGATAATAACGTCACGCTATCGACCCACTCCATTTTGAAGGCAATTCAAGGCTTGCCTGTATTGGAGCTAGCCTCTATTTGCATTAATTTGACGCTTTTTCTCGTCTTTCTCTTTATAATATCTGCCAGACAAATATTTGTTTGCGTTGGCCGGATTAGATTCATTAAGGATGATACGTCAGTTGCTAATTCAAGCCCAATTCGACGGACTAGTGCTGATGGAGAGATTCGAGAGGTTATAATCGGTAGTGGATTTAAGTTGGTTTTACTTTGTTGTTTCTATGTTTTGTTTTTACAATTTTTGGTGTTGGGGTTTGATGGTATTGCTTTGATTAGAGAGGCTGTTAATGGGAAAGTTGTGGATTGGTCTATAATTGCTTTACCTGCTGCCCAAGGTGTAGCTTGGTTTGTGTTAAGTTTTTCAGCACTTCATTGTAAATTTAAGGCGTCTGAGAAATTCACACTATTGTTGAGGGTGTGGTGGGTTTTCTCATTTTTGATTTGTTTATGTACTTTGTATGTGGATGGGAAGAGTTTTCTGATTGAAGGTGTGAACCACTTGAGTTCTCATGTTGTGGTGAATCTTGCTGCAACTCCGGCTCTTGCTTTTCTATGTTTTGTAGCAATTAGAGGTATTACTGGAATACAAATTTGTAGGAATTCTGATCTTCAAGAGCCATTACTTCTTGAAGAAGAGGCAGGATGTCTTAAGGTCACTCCATATAGTGATGCTGGGTTATTTAGCTTGGCTACTCTTTCATGGTTAAACCCACTACTCTCTATTGGTGCAAAAAGACCACTTGAGCTTAAGGACATACCCCTTCTTGCTCCTAAAGATCGGGCCAAGACTAATTATAAAGTTTTGAATTCAAATTGGGAAAAATTGAAGGCAGACAAGCCTTCAGAGCAGCCTTCTTTAGCTTGGGCAATTCTCAAGTCATTCTGGAAGGAAGCGGCTTGCAATGCCATATTTGCCTTGGTGAATACTCTTGTTTCATATGTGGGTCCATACATGATTAGCTACTTTGTTGAATATTTAGGGGGGAAAGAGACTTTCCCCCATGAGGGATATATTCTTGCTGGGATATTCTTCTCAGCCAAGCTTGTGGAGACCTTAACAACCCGGCAATGGTATCTTGGTGTTGACATTTTGGGTATGCATGTGAGATCGGCTTTGACAGCAATGGTGTACCGAAAAGGACTCAGGCTCCCAAGTTTGGCCAAGCAAAGTCACACTAATGGAGAAATTGTTAATTATATGGCAGTTGATGTCCAGAGAATAGGGGATTACTCCTGGTATCTCCATGACATATGGATGCTTCCCCTGCAAATAATTCTTGCACTTGCAATTTTGTTTAAAAATGTTGGAATTGCTGCTGTTGCAACTTTAGTTGCCACCATTATCTCCATCATTGTTACTGTCCCCCTGGCTAAGATACAAGAAGAATATCAAGACAAATTAATGGCTGCTAAAGATGATAGGATGAGGAGGACTTCTGAGTGTCTGAAGAATATGAGGATTATGAAGTTGCAAGCTTGGGAGGACAGGTATCGAGTGAAGCTGGAGGAAATGCGAGATGTGGAGTTCAGATGGCTCCGCAAAGCCCTTTATTCTCAAGCTTTTATAACATTCATTTTCTGGAGCTCTCCTATATTTGTTGCAGCTGTTACTTTTGGTACTTCAATATTGCTGGGTGGTAAGCTTACAGCAGGAGGTGTTCTTTCTGCTTTGGCCACCTTCAGAATCCTACAAGAACCACTCCGGAATTTCCCTGATTTGGTGTCAATGATGGCCCAGACAAAAGTTTCTCTTGATCGAATTTCTGGATTCCTACTGGAGGAAGATTTGCAGGAAGATGCAACCATTGTTCTGCCACGAGGCATGTCAAACATGGCAATAGAAATTAAAGATGGTGAGTTCAGCTGGGAACCCTCTTCTTCAAAGCCTACTTTATCAGGCATACAAATCAAGGTGCAAAAAGGGATGCGTGTAGCTGTTTGTGGCACGGTTGGCGCTGGAAAGTCGAGCTTTCTTTCTTGTATCCTTGGGGAGATTCCTAAAATCTCTGGTGAAGTACGTTAGTTTATGGATCTAATATATATATATATATATAATTAATGTTATTTTGTGGTCAACTGCAATTGTTTCTTTTGTCTACTATTGAGAATTGAAAATTCCTGAATCTGTTCTCTCTTTTCTGTCCCAGGTAAGAGTTTGTGGCTCTGCTGCTTACGTGTCCCAGTCAGCATGGATACAATCTGGAAATGTTGAGGAAAATATTCTTTTTGGCAGTCCAATGGATAAAGCAAAGTACAAAAATGTTATCCATGCTTGTTCGCTGAAAAAAGACTTGGAACTTTTCTCACATGGTGATCAGACCATCATTGGTGATAGAGGTATAAATTTGAGTGGTGGCCAGAAGCAGCGGGTACAGCTTGCAAGGGCTTTATATCAAGATGCAGACATTTATTTACTTGATGATCCCTTCAGTGCTGTTGATGCACATACTGGTTCAGAACTGTTCAAGGTTAGGCTTGCTCAATGTATCAACATAATGCTCTTCGTAATTAATGTAATTTGGCTGAACGTAATGATATGGAACTGCAGGAATACATAATGACGGCACTAGCAACTAAGACTGTGATTTTTGTGACCCATCAAGTTGAATATTTGCCTGCCACTGACTTAATACTGGTATGGAATTGCTTTCACATTTTATTTTTGTATATTGCTTCAGTATTATCAAGCCTACCTCAGGGTTCTATATCTTGCATCTTAATGAGACTGCTCTTTTTCTTTTTTAGTTGCTTTTTGTAGCCACCAACTTATTCTGTTATCGTGTTCATTAGTTTTGTAGTTGCATGTTAATGTTGCTTTCAATCAGTGTGCTAGCATTTCTCTCTCTCCGTATTTTTGTTGATTTTTTATTTAGACTCTTATTTTGTGTTGTTCTAAATTTCTAACAATTGTTATTTAATGGCAAATAAGATAATTGATTCCCAGTGCATCCATATACAGGAAAAGTGGTAATATCCATCAACTCAAGGAGTTGATTTTTCTCCATGACAATTGCGAATGCTGATGGTTGGTTTGGATGTACGTGGACTCACTTTGATCCCAGAAAATTTAATCAATCTTAATTTTCATTTCTTCAGGTTCTCAAGGAAGGGCGCATTATACAGGCTGGGAAATATGATGATCTGTTACAAGCAGGAACTGATTTTAAAACTTTGGTTTCAGCTTATCATGAAGCAATTGGATCTATGGATATCCCAAGTCACTCATCTGATGATTCAGATGAGAGTTTGCCTGTGGATGTCTCTGTTGTATTTAATAAAAAATGTGATGCAACTGCAAGTAATATTGACAGTTTGGCAAAGGAAGTACAAGAGAGTGCATCAGCCTCTGATCAAAAAGCAATTAAAGAGAAAAAGAAGGCAAAACGGTCAAGGAAAAAGCAGCTTGTTCAGGAAGAGGAAAGGGTGCGAGGGAGAGTCAGCATGAAGGTGTACTTGTCATATATGGCTGCAGCATATAAAGGCTTACTAATTCCCCTAATAATCCTTGCACAAACATTGTTTCAATTTCTTCAAATAGCTAGTAATTGGTGGATGGCTTGGGCAAATCCCCAAACTGAAGGAGATCTTCCTAGAGTGAATCCTATGTTACTCCTTGGTGTTTATATGGCCCTTGCTTTTGGGAGCTCATGGTTTATATTTGTGAGGGCTGTTCTGGTTGCTACATTTGGCCTGGCAGCTGCACAGAAATTGTTTTTGAAAATGCTTAGATCTGTGTTTCGAGCACCGATGTCTTTCTTTGACTCTACCCCAGCTGGACGTGTATTGAATCGGGTAAGTTTATTTGTTTTCTTTGGACTTACATACACTCTCTATATTCTATGTATATAGATTGCAGTTGATTATATTCTTTTTCTTTTACTCCCTTGCATTCTCTCTCTCTCTCTCTCTCTCTCGTTCTTTCTGTGTCTTTATCTAATGTCAATTATGTATGACCTTACAGGTGTCTATAGATCAAAGTGTTGTGGATCTTGATATACCTTTTAGACTTGGTGGGTTTGCTTCAACCACGATACAGCTTTTTGGAATAGTTGGTGTCATGACAAAAGTTACCTGGCAAGTTTTGCTTCTTGTTGTTCCAATGGCTGTTGCTTGCTTGTGGATGCAGGTGATTAATTAGTTTTTGCCCTTGAAAATGTTTCTGTTGGTTTGCGGATAAAAGTTGAGGAATGAAATGATGTTAATGTGTGTTTATGCGAGTTACTTCTGAATATTATTACTATCATTCACTGAATGCTTGTGTTATTATGATTGGCAATGAATAGATTACTGCTATAGGCTGCAATATCTAACATTACTTCTCTGTCATGTATTTGCAACAAGCCTTTTATTGATAGACCACCAAAACCATCATGTGGCTGTTGGAGTTTGTACCTCTCTATTTTCACTTACTACTTAGTTTCTAAATGACTAGTAAAACTATATTTCTTTTGCTTTCACTCAATGTTGTCTTTACACCCTTTGGATGTCATGTTTTTATCATTTGTAAATGAAATAACCATTGCATATAAATTATATTTTTATTGTTGCTCAAACTGAAGTGTTTTGGAATGGATCTTTTTTCACTATTTTAAACCACATTATCTGTGTCCATATAGCTTGAACTGTTTCAACCACAAATTGTGTTAAACACATTATCTGTTAAATCTTTGGGTTAAATGATATTGAAAGATATGTCAACTCATTATTGGTATGCTTGTATGCAGAAATACTACATGGCTTCATCAAGGGAACTGGTTCGCATTGTCAGTATCCAGAAATCTCCTATCATCCATCTTTTTGGCGAGTCAATTGCTGGAGCATCCACGATAAGAGGCTTTAGGCAAGAAAAAAGGTTCATGAAGAGGAATCTTTATCTTCTTGATTGTTTTGCCCGTCCTTTCTTCTGTAGTCTTGCTGCTATTGAATGGCTTTGCCTGCGCATGGAATTACTTTCAACCTTTGTATTTGCTTTCTGCATGATTTTGCTGGTTAGCTTTCCCCAAGGAAGTATTGATCCAAGTAAGTACATCATTTCTACTGTACTTCACATGTATACTTGAGAAACTTTATATACAGTGATAAGTTATATTGATGTTTCAAGCTATAATTTTCATCTTGAAGCAAGGGTAAGCTTATTGCTGAAATTGTTTGGAGGTGGATACAAGATAAATAATAAAACAAAGTAACTTCTTTAATCTATAAATTCATGCTGTTCCTAACCATGGTTGTTTGTTCTTGTACAGGCATGGCAGGCCTGGCTGTAACTTATGGCCTTAATTTAAATGCACGCCTATCAAGGTGGATACTCAGCTTTTGCAAACTAGAAAACAAAATTATTTCTATAGAAAGAATTTATCAATACAGCCAAATTCCAAGTGAAGCTCCATTAGTTATTGAGGGTTCCCGTCCAGCACCCTCATGGCCTGAGAATGGAACAATTGATCTGATTGATTTGAAGGTATGAAGCTCAGGTTCATTTCTTCAGGCACAAGCATACACCCTGCCTTGATGAAACAATTAACTTCTTTGAATTTGTACTGTTTGATTTGTTAGTTTGTCCTTGGATGGCTTATACCAAACTTTGAGTCTATTTGCAGTCTTGGGTCTTGGGTAACGCACATTTGCTGTCTGGATCAGGTTCCATGCTAAGTCATAAACTGTATGTGCCTATAATCTGGTTTCAGACCTTAAAACATTAGCACTACATTCTCCTTGATTTGGAGCATTCAACCTTTGCATCAAGGAACTGGAGTTTTGGAGTTAATCGGTCTTATTAGACATTATTTATCTTTAATTCTGGGACTGATTCAATTATCTATTGGCCATGACTTTATCATGTTTGTTTTGTAACACGCTAGATTCTCTATCTTGCGAAGAAAAATGAATATAAAATTTGGTTTCTCATGTGCATGATATTTTTGGAGAAAAATAATGGAGGCAAGATAATCTGTCTGATTCATACATATGGAAATTGGTTCTAAAATTGCTGACCATTTGTTTCTATTCTGAAGGTTCGTTATGGTGAGAATCTTCCTATGGTGCTTCATGGGGTATCATGCACCTTTCCCGGTGGAAAGAAAATTGGAATTGTGGGACGAACTGGAAGTGGTAAATCCACACTGATCCAAGCACTATTTCGGTTAATTGAACCTGCTGAAGGGAGAATCTTTATAGACAACATTGATATTTGTACTATTGGCCTCCATGATCTTCGTAGCCGTTTGAGTATCATACCGCAGGATCCTACTTTATTTGAAGGGACAATTAGGCGGAATCTTGATCCCCTTGAAGAGCGAACAGATCAGGAAATTTGGCAGGTCTTATTCCCTTGTTTTGTTCTCCTTTTTTCATTTCCGTGCTTATCTACAACAATTTAACTTGACCTGGATTTTGAATTTTGAAATGAAAGATTTGAAACGAAACTTTATAGTGATTTTTACATTATTAAATTTGCTAGGTCTCAAGCTAGCTAAGCATAGTTAGAAATGGTTATAAACTTCTTTTTAGATCTGTAAGTAATTATCTTTTGCAAGTCAAATTACATCATTTTCAGAAAAAAAAACCCTTTCCTCAGATATTAATTACTCAATTTCCCATCTTTTAACTTTATTTTGCCAATTAATTCCTTAATAAACAATTCTTATTGTATGGAAAACTTTCTGATAATGTGCTAAGAACTCCGCTGTTTGCCACAGGCTCTTGATAAATCCCAGCTTGGGGAGAAAGTCCGCAATAAAGAACAAAAGCTTGATACACCAGGTATGTAGCTGGCGGCTCAGCATACTGGATAATGTGGTCTTGATTTTGTATCTCTTGTTACTAACTGATTGATTTGTGTTCAAATGCATAACTTTCAGTGCTAGATAATGGGGATAATTGGAGTGTAGGGGAACGGCAACTCGTTGCCCTAGGTCGGGCTTTGCTCAAGCAGGCTAGAATATTAGTGTTGGATGAAGCTACAGCATCAGTGGATACAGCTACGGACAATCTTATCCAGAAAATTATCCGGAAAGAGTTTAAGAATTGCACTGTTTGCACAGTTGCACATCGTATCCATACTATCATTGACAGTGATCTAGTTTTGGTACTCAGTGACGGTGCGTACCAATAATTCGTTCTTTCTTGGTATGCCATAACACAATTGACATATTATGCTGAGGTTTTTCATTTAGGCAGAGTTGTCAATCATGGTTTTAGATCTTTCAACATATTTGTTGAATTTTTAAGAGTTGAAATGTTACTCAAAAGATGTAGTCAGAAGACCTTATATGGTCGAGCTTCAGTCACAACACAATTGTTGGAAATGTTTTAAGATCGTCACATCATATGCCTACTATTCTGTTTATTTATTTTACCTGTAATAAACTCCGTTTTGAACCTTTTCAAAAGTAGATATAACACAATTTTGCATTTTGTAATATGACACTTTATGTAAATTCCCATGAATATTTTTCTGTACTTCTTCATCTAGTTCTTATGTAACCTTTTCTACTTTTATGTGCTTTTGCAGGTCGAGTTGCAGAGTTTGATTCTCCAGTTCGGTTGTTAGAAGATAAATCATCCATGTTTGCAAAGCTGGTAGCGGAGCATGTGACAAGGTCAACAAGCGGCATACCAGACTTTTGATCAGATGGTATGCTGAAAATACTTTGGGTGAGAGGCAGGAAGAGCAGATTGAGGTCCACGAGCAAAGTGGATGCTGCTGCTGCTGCTGCATTCGGCGGACGGGAATTGAAAACAGGAAGGATTAAGGTGCAAGCTTCGATTCTTGCATGATCCCTATAGTTTCAAGTTCAAGGGAGAATCCATGCTTGGTTGGCATAATTTGTATCAGAAAATAAGTTGGTAATAATCACACGAGAAGGGGAAAAAAAAAGAAAGAAAATTGTGGGTCTAAATTCGTTCGATGATGTGCAATAAAATTAGTGGTTAGATTAGGGCAGGCTTCTGTTTTTGTGTAGGAAAATTGTAGAGCTAAACTAGTCAATGCCCATCCCACTTCATTCTAGTGGCATAATTCAGTTTTAGACTAGAAATTTTGGATGCCAGAAATTTCTTCTACTATTGTTTCTCTTTATTTCTTCACTTTCTGCTTCCCATTATATATATTGACATGCATGGTTATTCCTAATTCAATCTCTCAGATGATGTAGACCAATATGAAGCTTTAACACTTGCTTCAAATTTGCAACAGATAAAAGCAGTAAAGATTATGTTTAAGCTAGTGGGTCTCTTAAGCTTCTTTTCTTAGCTAAGGAAGGATATTTCCAGGTCAAGCAAACAGAATTGCTAAGGTGGCCTGTTCATATGCTAGATTTAATCTTTTCAATATTATTAAATAAGAATTGATTTTGAATTTGTAGCCAAACCTTATTAGTTTTAGTATAATTTTGATTTAATCTAAATATAACCAATTCTATATCATTGAAATATAATATTTTTATATATTATTGTTTTCTTAAAATATAGAATAAGTATGAATTAAAGATCTGTTTGGTAAAATTAATTATTTTGATAGCTGTTTAAATTAGAGTTTCATCGAATGTTCATCCACGATTCCCTTATTCTAAACACTAGTATGCCACTAAATGCTATATGAATAGCTATTGTAGAACATGTCTTAAATATAAATTATGTGAAATTTTAATTTTTTAATACTAAATAAAAATTGTGTTTGATACGTGTCCTAAATATAAATTCTGTGAAATTTTAATTTTTTAATATTAAATAAAAATTATGTTTGATATTTTAATTAGGGCTATAAATAAGTCGAGCTTGAGTGAATTAATTTCTAACCTAAGTATTGGTATCCGGACTCGAAATTTACCGAACAAGAATGACATCATTTTTATATCAGTTTAATTAATTTTAGCTTATTAATCTAGTTTGTGACTGCCAATTAGGAGTAGTTTGGTTGATCTTCTCACTTATAGGAGGAGTGGAAGGTTTCGAGTGTGAGTCCTCATTTTCACCAATTTAGTGAGCCCTGCAGTGTTATTTCTATTTTAAGAAGTAATAAATGATATTTTTTCTAATATTATCATTATTTACATTAAATATAATACCTACATTTACAAATAACTCTTGGTTTGAGATAGAGCATAATTCGATCAAATTACATTAAGCTTTTGTTGAGTCCAACCTCCAACAACTAATGCTCATTTTCGTTATTTGGTTGTAATATTGAGAATAAGTTAAAAATATTAAAGTTTTTATCTCACAAGATTATAAAAAATATTAATAATAATATAAATTTTATAATTCATAAAATTTATTGTTAAATATGAGAAGAATGTAAAAAAATATATATATATAAATTATGAAAGTTGCCAATGGCCGGTGGTGGTGGCTGCTGGTGGCTGGTGGTGGGGCTAGTGGTGGTTCGATGGTAAATGGTGACTGATAGTAGTGACTACGATGATTAATAAATTTAAAAATATGAATTTATAAGATTTTTCAATGATTAATAAATTAAAAAAATATGGATCTATAAGATTTTTCAATATTCCGAAAATATTTTACTTTTTCGAAAATGTGAAGTTATTTTCTTTAAAAAATGATTTAATTTTTCTTTGATTAGAAAATTATTTTGCATTGACTTATTTTCTTAAGCTCCCTAAACAATGAAAAATTGTGAAAAATATTTTCCTGGAAGTTATTTTATGGAAACAAAAGTAGCTTAAATTGATTTACGACCCTATCCTTGGCTCACGAATTTGATTCAACTGAATTTACCCGGAAAGGAAGAGCCCATACCCGCTTTTACAATCCAGACTGGTCCATACTGGCCCATCGCAATAATCCACGAGAAACGACCCAAATGCAAATCTCTCTACTCTGTCTCGTAAGCCTACACTCTCTCTCTCTCTCTCTCCCCCTCCCTCCCTCCCTCTGTAACCGAGAACGATGCAGGCGATTTCAAGGCGATTAGGGCAACAGGCTCACAATCCCGCAGCTTCAATCGCTTCTCTCAAATCAATTTATCCGCTCTGTAATGCTCGATTTTCTCTTCATTTTTAGGGTTTTTTCGTTATCATTTTTATGCGTTTGCATAATGTGATCTAAATTTGCCATTTCATTGCTTTTTGCAGATTATGGAACTGATCATCCGCGTTATGGATCTACTCTCACTCCCAAAGGCGTGGGCCACCTTGTTCGCAAAGGCACTGGTGGAAGATCTTCGGTTAGGTAAATTTTCTGCTTCATTTCTCCATGACTTCCTGTTTGGTTGAATTGAAAACCTAGGGAAATGAAGACACATTCGTGTAGCTGAAAGAAAATTGTAATACTGACAATCTTTCAGCTGAAATAAAATTGTAACTCTTTTTCTTATTTGCTAATTGAATTCTTTTTTCTATAATTTGGTCAATGAAAGTATTTTATGGCTTAGTATAGTAGGTAGGGAAATTTCTTTCAAAAGGAAAACAAATGTTGCTTCCCTTTTTTGGTATTTTTTTCTTTTGTTTCCTTGGTAAACAAGTCCTAGTTCCCCTATTGAATTAGTAAAATATTACATTTTTTTTCAGTGGCATCATTGCTACAGTATTTGGAGCTACAGGGTTCCTGGGTCGATATGTTGTTCAACAACTTGGTGAGCTGAAAGCATTTAATATCATATTACACCTGCACTTTGAAGTCACCACTAGTTAAGTGGTTTTTCGTGTGCTTTTATTGATTGTGTAATTTTTATTCCAGCTAAAATGGGAACTCAAGTGTTAGTTCCTTTCCGAGGTTCTGAGGATTCTCATCGCCATCTCAAATTGATGGGTGATTTGGGTCAGGTAGAGTAGTTTCTTAATCCAGTTGAAATCTGACTTGAAGGAGAGCTTGTCATTTTGCATTTATTTATTTTGCAAGGACATCTTTTCTTTATAATGTGTTTCTTTTCCCATTTTTTCTGTTCAGATCGTTCCGATGTTATACAATCCAAGAGATGAAAATTCAATTAAAGCTGTTATGGCAAAGGCCAATGTTGTTATTAATCTTATTGGTAATATTTTTCATTTGTGACATACCTAAGCTTTCTAATCCAAGTGTGAAAAATTATTCATATTTATTGACATCTTTTGGCAGGAAGGGAGTATGAGACAAGAAACTACAGCTTTGAAGAAGTGAACCATGGTATGGCCGAACAACTTGCAATGGTAGGTTCCTCCAATTTTATGTCAAATAACGATAGCTTGTGTGTTGGCTCCTTGATGATCTTGAATATGGATTTTGAGCAAGTTTTGTGCTTATCATGTTAAAAAAAAAAAAAAAAAAAAAATGATTCTTGAATTATGGATTTGAGCAAGTTTTGTGCTTATCAGTTAAAAAAAAAAATAAAAAAAAAAGTTACCGTGTTTGCTGGAGATCACTTGTTTTTGTGAATTCATATTTGATTTGTTTCGTATTTATTTATATGTTCATTTTGATTTATTTATGCTTTAGTGATGGTCAGCCTAAAAAAAAAAAAAAAAAAAAGTTACGTGTTTGCTGGAGATCACTTTGTTTTTTTGTGAATTCATATTTTGATTTGTTTTCTGTTATTTATTTATATGTTCATTTTGATTTATTTATGCTTTAGTGATGAGTCAGCCTCTAATTGTATGTTTGATTGTATATGTTTTCCTTACTATTTTATGTGTATTTATAAGCTCCTATATTATTTCATATAACGTACATGCAAATTGCATGTATATTTGGCTGCATTTGCTTATTAGTTAATTTCGATGCTTTTCCGGACCAAATTAACTATGGGATATACTGTTCCCTCTTTTTGTTGAGTGGATAACTTGTTTCAAATTCTACTCGAGTTGTGTTTGTTGTTGACCTGTGTATCAAAATACCTAAAATATTGAATAGCATAATTGGTAATGCCCAATTTAGTGACTGGAATTGGAATAATTAAGGGGATATTGCAAGGTTAGCAGTTCAAATTTGACTCATGGTTGTGAATTATAGAGGGAATAAGACTGGATGTGAACATATAGTAAGTACTCTATATCATAGATTGCTACATGGTACCTTAATTAATGAGCAGTGAAGTGCAGAGTTAGCATTTAAAATTTTGGTACATCATTATGTGCCAGAGAGGAAAATGGGGTTGGTGGTTCTCAATTCTTATAGTTATTTCCTTGGAGGAATTCTTCATTACAACGTTAACAACAATCCTGTCTTCTGATGATTTTAAATTCAATTGGATTGAAACATAGCTGATCCCAAGCTTGGATAATGAGGGTTGTGGCAGGTAATGTATGGCATAAGATGTTGTCATGATAATATGGACTGTAACTTAGTGGTGAAGGAATTCCCTATATTCTAGGGGTTTCAAATTTCAAGTTAAACAAAAAATTGGATTATATGCTTTACAATTTCAGTAAGCTGAAGGAAACTAAGAAAGGTTGAGTTGATTAGATCTAGTAGAAGTTCTGTGAAGTAATCAATTTTTGATTCCTAGGTTCCATTATATAATATGGGGAGAGTGGGTAGTTTAATTCACTAGGTCAAGGCAGGATGGTTGAAATAAAAAGCATGATTTTGCTTCTAAGTTGAAGGTGGTGTTCTTCACGAGACAGTGAAAATTGAGTAATGAATAAACATTTCCTCAACAAAATGAATGAAGCACACATGAGGGTTTTAAATCGGATGTGAAATAGAAAAGAAAGTATTTGCATTCAAAGAAAGGTTAAGTTGGCTATGGCATAGGCATCTATTGGAAATCAGTTGAAGGTTGATTGAGATAGTTTTACCTGTTGCTGTGCAGAATTTCAAATACACAGGTTTGGAAGATTGGGCACATCCAAGTTATGCAATGAAGAAATGAGAATTAGAATAAGGATCAGAGTCTATATGTCCCAATATTACAACATACTGATTTGAGATGCAAAATTTTAGGGTGGTGAATTCATATTCACATTATATCAGCCCAACATAGCCGTTATGTTCCAATATGTGATGGCCGAAAACAAGCTGTACCCCTTTATTCTAAGCAAAGGAAGAGAAGAAAAAGGAAGGAGGGGGAAAAAGGAAAGGAGTGCAGATACTGGAGTTGGGTGGAAGATGCTCTTTCTTTCCTTTCCTTGGTTTTTGCTAATCTTTTTTTTTTCTTTCCCCGATGCTTGCATTCTGGTCTGAAACAATCGATAGTGTGCATTGCATGATACCCTTGTATGTAGACAAATAGATTTCATTATTTTATGATCATTTTCTGGTCTTATGTGTTTAGTTTTTCTTTTCCTAACATCAATAGATCAGCATCTGATCTTGCATGTTACAATAATTAGAATTGATAGTGTGCATTGTTTGATACCCTTGTATGTAGACAAATAGAATTCATTATTTTATGATCATTTTCTGGTCTCATGTATTTAGTTGTTCTTTTCCTAACATCTATAGATCAGCATCTGATCTTGCATGTTACAATAATTAGAATTGATAGTGTGCATTGTTTGATACCCTTGTATGTAGACAAATAGAATTCATTATTTTATGATCATTTTCTGGTCTCATGTATTTAGTTGTTCTTTTCCTAACATCTATAGATCAGCATCTGATCTTGCATGTTACATGCATGTTACAATAATTAGAAGGTAAATGTATCATGTTGAACTTACGGTTGTGCAGATTGCCAAAGAACACGGAGGCATCATGAGATATATTCAAGTTTCGTGCTTGGGAGCATCTGCTTCATCTCCGTCAAGAATGTTAAGAGCCAAAGCTGCTGCAGAGGAAGCTGTATTAAGAGAAATACCTGAGGTAACATATATTTTTGGTTTGCTAGGTGACTAGTTCCTTCCTCAAACCTTTTTCTCCCTGCTTTTGTAATTAGCAAAATACTATTGTGGAGAGTATTTTGTTGAAAAAGGACATGAAAGACGTAGGGACTTTTGAAGCTTTTTCTTTAACTTTATATCCTACAGTGGAACCAAATATGAAATATGATGATATGTTGAGGATCCTGCATTATGACTATCATAAATTGAGAAATTTTTTTCCCTATTTATGTTATATATGGTAGACAGGAGGGAGAGAATAGGTAATATAGAAAAGGGAAAGGAATGAAGAAAAAGATTAAGAAGAAAAATGATGACACGAGTTTTTGACACAAATGAAGTTATTATTTTGAAAGAAAGCTCCTTTTGATATCCTTTCCATTCCTATCTCTTTCTTCAGACCATGATGAAGTTACTTCCACTCTCTTTGTTACCTGGTGACTTTCCCTATACATAACAGAGGGTAAAGGTGATTGTGCTAGAACTCTTGTTTTTGAAAGTGTCAAAGCTTAATTGAGTATTGTCAAAATATGCCGGTTTCCCTTGATGGTTTTTGGATTTACATCAGTTGGTTTCCAAGTGGCTCACGAGTATATTATATTTATGATAGTATTATTTTCAATTGTCTTTGTTGGAAGTGCTGCTTAACGCACCTTCTTCAGTATAAAGTGATAATTATTAAAACAAAGTTTGCTTTTTAAACCAGAAAACCAGAGAGGAGTTTTTATTTTTTTATGCTTAAGAGTTGGGATTGAGTGGTGATCTAATGTGGAATTGCCGAATTTGTTACTTTTGTCTTTTTTTCTTTTTTTTTTTTTTCTTTTTTGTAAATTTTTCCTGGAGGTATTGAGAGTCACTTTTTCTCTGATTATGTTCAATTGGTTTCAATTTGCTACAAGTTATTTCTTATTGATGTTTGTTACAACATTCCTTTTTAACCTTTTCCCTGTATGTTATGTTATTCAGACTCTGGAGCTGATGGCCTTTTAGGAACCCATAAAAAGAAACCTTCTGAAGATCTTAAAAAAAAAAGTGAAATACATTTGAACAAAGTTAAGGCCTTTACTATTTAATGAGTGCATGCAAGATGCATTTTAAGTGTGTAATTTTTGAAAATCCCAGGGAAGGGGCACAGCCCAATCACATTTAGGAAAATAGCCTTCTTAAGTAGACTCAGAGAATACAAAAAATTTGTACAATGAGAGATGAACATTTAGTTAGTGATTAAGATCAGAGAAGCTCTGTTTCAGTGTTCCTTCCCCTTAAATCTTGTATTGCTAAGTTTGACCTTTCTTGTGGTCCTTATCAATTCTGGCTTTAAGAGCTAAATTCCTAACAGATACCAACTTCTGTAGGCCACAGTATTGAAACCTGCTGTGATGATTGGTACAGAGGATCGAATTTTGAACCGGTGGGCACATTTTGCAAAAAAATATTCATTTCTTCCACTATTTGGAGATGGATCTACCAAGTATGTCTTTTTGGTTTTATTTTTTTACTGCACGTGGAGAGAACATTATAATTGTCATTGTGGATGTTTCTTAACAGTGGCTTCTTTGCAGAATCCAACCAGTATACGTTGTTGATGTTGCTGCTGCTGTTATTGCAGCATTGAAAGATGATGGGACCAGCATGGGAAAAGTTTATGAGCTTGGAGGGCCTGAAATCTTTACTGTGCATGAATTGGTAACTTCTCTCACATTTTGCATTGTTTTGTTTTTCCTGCAATGCTTGATGATGTTACTGAAGTCTATTTGTACTGCAGGCGGAACTTATGTTTGACACGATTCGTGAATGGCCTCGCTATGTGAAAATTCCCTTCCCCATTGCAAAGGTAAATATTTGACTTGGTGTGGTTGGAAATTAACTTATTTGCAGAAATAAAAAATCATTTAAAATATGCAATCAACAACTCAATTATGCCCTTGATATCCTGTTGCTATTTTAGTGCATTCTAAAGGAATATTTTTTCTAAATTTTAAATGAAGAAAAACAGGCTGTTTTTCTTTCCAAATTTGTTCACATGAATTTTTGTTTGCATGTTTGTGGGCGACTTATCAAAATCACTTTTCAACTTGTAAATTGTACGGTTGTATGATCCCAGCGTAATAAAGCGTGTCCAATTGTATCAAAATTGCAATCTGCACTTGAAAAACCCATATAAAGGCCCCAGAACTGTGTTTTTTAATTGTATTAAGGATTCCAAAATGAACAATTCTGTCTCTCTTTCTAAGGAATGTAGTTTTTTATTTTAAGTCTATTAGTGTTGTAATGTTACATTTTCTTTTATGTTTGATATTATGGACTTGGCTTATTAGGTTAGGGTGAGGGAGCAAATATTACTAGAACCAATAAGGATTGTATTTTTTATAGTGTGACGCTTGTTGTGCAATATGTGGGAGACAATCTTATATGTCTTTGGTCATCATTTAAGTTCTCGTTGGAAAAATGCTTTTTGACAACTTTGTGGATCTCTGGTTGCTAGCATCAGTTGACACGTGGTTGCTAGTATTTTGTTGTTTGATTTGAAAGTAATTTTATTTGCACATATGGATCGAATGGTTTCAGGCACTTGCAATGCCACGAGAAGTATTACTTAACAAGGTTCCATTTCCATTACCCACACCCAACATTTTGAATTTGGATGAGATAAATGCCCTTTCTGTGGATACAGTGGTGTCAAAAGATGGTAAGATAATAGGTCAAGGCATTTGGAACTTGTTCTTGCTTCATTCCTTATCTCAATCTATTCATATTAATATTCCTTGATTTCTGTTCTGGCTTGCAGCTTTAACATTCCATGATCTTGGGATTGTGCCACATAAGTTGAAGGGATACCCTGTTGAGTTTCTTATCTCATATCGCAAGGGTGGCCCACAATTCGGTTCTACAGTTAGTGAAAGGGTATCCCCAGATTCTTTTCCATAAGTTCTTGGAATCTTTCTTTTCCAAATGTTTCTGGTCCACTGCCTGTTTGAGAAATTTGGAATGCATAGGCGATGGCCTTCTGTTCTTTGAGAAAATGGAAAGACTTGGAACTCGTGAATCTTGTCTCTCTTGCTGATGATGGAAGAGATTATATTTATCTCAATAACCATGCATAATGATTGGGATACCTGATTGATGCTTTTTGAAAATCCCATCTTTATATGTTGTATTGTATTGTGGGATCACTAATAAGTTCCGAGCCTTCGCATCATAGATTTTGAAAGCTTAACCAGTTTCTATGCACTCACTCTAGGAAACAATAATGAAGTGGATCATCCTTAATAGCTTCTAAATTGTCTGATCGGTAGACGTATTACTTTTGTAATTATGCATTAAAAAGAAAAAGAATCAAGTCCTTACTGCAGACCCCTAAATCTTGGGAGTTCATTGCAGGTGTAAGAAACTGGAGTTTGTTTCATTATTGCTTTTAGCCATTTTGTTTTATCAAATTCCGTTCATTGGAGTTAGAAATAATATCCATTTTCATTCAATACTAGAGAGACAGTCTTGATTGAGATTGAAATTGAAATTGCAATTTATCAGACAACTGGATAGAGTGATATTTTCATTCCCTTATCTGGTCACAACTCGCATCTCTCCATACGAAGCTAAAATGTTGAAGGATCTGATCTGATTTGGTATTAAGTGCATGAAAGTATGGTCTATTATGCTGAGAATGACTTGCCCTAGTTTTGGCACCAAAGTTTAGGGATTTGATTTGGGTACATAGAGATTGAAAGGGGGAGTAATGGAAGAAATTTGCAGTTGTAAACAATGGTTCATAAGAAGATTATAAAAGAAGAAATCCATGTACTTGTTGGGTTAGAAGGTACTCGATTAGTGGGACTATGCCTGCTTAAAAATGCTTCAAAAATTCATTTAAATTACAGTCTAGGGCTACTTAAGCACAGCACTAAATTGATCCTTGTCAATCTCTTTGGTGGTAATTTGATATGATGCATAGACATGTGCTCATTTCCAAATGTCTTCAACAACACGAGAAAGAAATGGTAGATTGAGTCTCAAGTCATTCCTCCTAGAGGATATTACTTTTCTCTGTAGCATAAGAAAGGTTCAATATTACATAACTCAGATTACAAGTAAAGAAGAAACCAACCACTCATAAATGTTCCTCTCTCGCAACAACAATAGCTTTTGCCACTATCAGCCCTATCTCTAAGATCAAATCATGGAACCAGAAAGAAGCTATGGCTGTTTCGATAATGTCGACTTGAAGGGAAGAAATGTCGGAGCTGCAATGATGATCCGCCGCCATGGAAATCCTACAGGTGAGCCACAAGATAGTTACTGCATCAACATTTATATAAACAACAACATTCAAGGGGTAAACAATTCTATATTGCTTGGAAGTGAAATAAAAATGAAAAATCCTAGTGTTAACCTATTTTTGGAAGACATGAAGATGGGTAAAAAATTGAAAGAATCATCAAAGAAGAAGAAAAGATCAAATAAAAAGGTGGGTTCATTAGGCTCTAAACTGGGGCTTACTAGCATATTTGTTGCATCTATGTTATTACTCCTCTTATTTGTAACTTTGTCATTATCTTGAAATACCTAATCTTGCATAAATTTTCCTTTTTGGGTGTCCTGAGTTGAGCCAAGTCATACTTATATATTTGTTAACTTAACTTTCTAAGTAGCTTGAATAGTATAGTCAATGCCCTTGGCTAGTTGACATTTGTTGTACTTGTATCCATCCCATCCATCAAAGTCTTTCTTCCAATTGTTTCATTTGAAAGTTCTCTTTTCCATTATATATAATAATTAACCCATTAAACAATTCAGTAGGTTAACCTCAATATCTTCTTATATCCCACAATTATTATACAATACACGTGGCAAACACCCCTTTCTCCTGGGAGTGTATGATTAAATTCTCTCTTGTCCACTTGCATAGAAATGTCACTGTGTGATCATAAAATAAAATGGGGATTCCAAAACATGTTAGTGGTTGCCCACTCTTTAAGATCCACTGTACTGTGCTCTAAATTGCCATATATAACCTTCCCTACATGTATGGTTGTTGCACTTACACATAATGTTTGTCTCTACTCAGAAAAAACTACATCTCTTTGATAAAGATTTCTTATGTATTATTTCAGACATTACCACATGTATATGTTCAACCCTAAAATGGACTTCTCTTCTGGTTTTTATAGCAAGAAAGAAGCCCTTTTATTGAAAAAATCTACATCTGGAGGCATATATAAGATTGATGCCACAACTAATTTACTATTATTACTAGTCTAATTCTAGCACAACGGCAGGTTAATTATAGAAATTATATTACTACTACTTTTGATATCAATAGCTTACTTTAATAAATGATTTATATAAGTTATTAAAAACAATTGGAAAAACCAATCCAGTTGGTCTTTCCACGTTTTGCAGAAGATGCAGAGAGTGAAAGATATCCTCTCTCCATCACAAGAGAGAGGTATCACCAATTTGAACATTATAAATTCAAAGGACTGAGCTTTTAAATATTATAACCTTTTAAGTCCAATTTTAGAAAAATAACCAATTAACTACCATTAATCTACAACCAAAAGGATTTGAACATTAGGGTTATTGTTGCGACTTTTACAATGTTTTGTTTATTGTTATTTCGTTATTTGAACACTAATACATGTCGAGATATAAATTTCCTCTTTAGTAAATGGAATAATTTTAAAATTATCAAAATGAATTTTTTGAAAGACTATAAAAGTGAATAGAGGCTCTCTAATAGACAATACAACTCTATTATGTCAGTTCGACTGAATTAAGGTTTTTATATAAAAATATAGAAGCTTGCTGATTCATTCGTATTTCATATTTGTATTATATATTTTTAATGAAAATTCTACTTTTTTTTAACAAAAAAATAAAAAAGGTATGGATTATTTAATACCAATCAACATGTTTTGGATTAGATGAAAAGAAGAGGCAAAGAGGTACATTATTGATGAATTGGTAGATTATAATTAATCTACTTAGAAAAGGAGATTCCATCTTTACAAAGATGTAAGATTGGAATCTAACTTTTCCACTTCTTTAATAAAAATATAACTATTATTAATATTGCTTTTATGTCCAAAATTATTGTATAGTTCTACTAATTGAGCCCTTGATTGTGTAAAAAGAAGAGCATTTGTTCAACACAATGATGAGAGGAGGAAAAAAGAAATACAAAAAGCAAGACTATAATAAAAATTAAAAAGAAAAATCAACTAAAACTAAAAGGCCTTATGATGAAGTAAAGATTAATAGGTAATTATGAAGTATATAAGATACTAATGTCCAATGATACTCATTCTATAACTCTATGAAATGTCATTTATAGACATAACAACTTGTGCATATTACCTTCTTGGGTTATGCTTTTGATTCAATTTGAGCAGGATTACCCCACTAAATTCCTAGTTAAATAATTAATTATAATATTTGCCCCACTATTCTTTTTTTTTAAAAAAAAAAATAAAAAGAGTCAATGCATATATTAATTTTAAAATATTGATTAATAAATAATAAAAAAGTTTCATTGTACCGATCAGGTGATTGATTGATTAAGTTAGCTACTTATCGTTCCTAAAAGGTTACTTAAAAGAAAACAAAATATATAATATATTTCCTTCGTGTCATTTTAAGAGCCGCGTCTCATTTTTGGATTAATTTTAAATTTTAATCGCTAAGATTTGAAATGACATTATAAAAAATTTTATGAGGCTTTTTATAATTACCCAAATAATTAAATCCAGAAATACTGTTTTCTTTTAGAATGAAAAATAATGTTATTTATTGTAATTCTATTAACCAGAAAATTTTCATTTTGGTTTATTTTCCTAATTTTATTCTTGAGTTGGAAATGGTGCTATATGCAAATGTAAGATGCAAGCAAAGGGAAAAGGAATCGAATCGGCCTCACGGTAAGGATCATGTTCCTATCTCACATGTAAATAAAACCATGGCCGCACTCTTCTAGACGGCACCACCTGCGCCTTTGCCACTAATTGGACAAATGTTGTTAGGGTTTATTCCAAATCTATCGAAAATCACAACCTTGTAATTTTCAATTGTGGAATTTCATGTTTCTGTTCTTTTTTTTATTATTTTTAATTTATCAATATTCACCTTTGTATATTCTTATCAAATCTTATTTAACAAAAATATTGTTTTATTTAGAACATTTTTAAAATAGTTTACAAGAACTGAAATTAAATTTTCTTTCAAAACAATTTTCATAATTTTAACTTCATAATCCATTGACTGAAATAAATACTACACAAAATAAATACAATTACCTTCGTTCCATAATACTTATCACATTTAAGAAAATATTTTATTTCAAAATACTTGTCACATTTATGATCGCAAAGAATGATAATTTTTTTTCTTATGTTTACCATTTGCATATGATCAATAATTATTACTTCAATTTAATATTTTTTTTAGAAAATTATTATTAAATTAAAAGTAATATAGTTAATTTACTCAATAATTTAATGTAACTTAGATAAATTCAACTGTTTCTAAGAATGTGAAATTCCAAATGTGATTATGAAACAGAGGTAGTAAATTTTTAAGAGACGAAAACTGATATATTCATTATTAAAATTGTAGTGATTTTAATTGGGATGGTTCCAATCAGGTTATATTAAAACTAATTTAAACAGTTTTATTTATTTGTATCCTTAGCATACCATTAATAAATACTCTCTGTCTTATAATAATATGAATTGTTCAATTTTCACACAGATTAAAAATTAAAAATACATAATAATTGTTATCCCTTATTTCATCATATAATTCTTTCATCAAATTAAAAATAGTTATAGGTTTATATATATATATATAAACTCTATATTTGGATCATAAGGAAATATGATAAGTTTGAAAATTGGAAAGGAAAATATAATAATTTTCCTTTCCTTCAAGAGAATATATAAATTTGAAAGGAAGTAAAAATATATAAGGAATATAAACACCAAGTTCACATGCTATTTTGTATTTTATGGGAGGAAATTATGATAAAAAAAATTGAAATTACAAGTTTACATTTATTTATTGTATTTATGTTCGAAAATGTGAAGGCTAAACTCATAATTTTACTATTTATAAAATTATTTTCCTTCATTAATTATTTCCCTCTCACATATCCAAATAATGACAAGAGAAAATAAAATTATTTCCTTCTATATTTACCAAATTTATTATGTTTCTAATCCTAATTTATTTTTTATATTTATTAATTCCTATAAATTACTTTCTTTTGTCTACTTTTATTAGTCGTTAAAAGTTTTTACCTGATGATTACAGAAGTAATAAAATTACCTAAATACTCTTTAATTTGACTTAATTAATCTTTATTTCACTTAATTATTCCAATCTCAATAATATGTTCTCTATTAATATGGCACTAAAATTAAAAGAGAAAAAAAAAAAAAAAACAACTTTTATTAGTCGTTTAAAGTTTTTACCGATGATTACAGAAAGTAATAAAATTACTAAATACTCTTTTAATTTGACTTAATTAATTCTTTATTTCACTTTAATTATTCCAATCTCAATAATATGTTCTCTATTAAATTTGGCACTAAAATTAAAAGAGGAAAAAAAAAAAAAAAAAACAGTTCTTAAGAAATTATTAGACAATGGTAAAAAAAAAAAAAAAAAACAGTTCTAAGAAATTATAGACAATGGTTATTGTAATTATTCAATATAATTGAAGAAAAATTAAAATTTTAATTATATATATACACGCGCGACACATTACTTTTATATGCAAATAAAAAAAAAACCAAATGCGTATATTTTATGTAAGATATTTCGTGGTATATTTAATTTTAATTCAATGCATTAAATATTTTAACTTATAAAATTATATTGTTAAATAATTTCAACTTCAAATGTTTTCTATTGAAATTTTAACTTATAAAATTAAATTAATTAAATAATAGTTAGATGATTAAAAAATTAAAATTAAAATTAAAATATTATATATATCAAATTAATGTTTTATGTGTAAAAATAAAAAATATTAAAAAATTATTATCGGGTGAGAAAATACGTAGAATTTTTAAAATTTCCTAACTTTACCGATATGATTGGTTTCTATTTTTCACGTGTACCACCGAACTTTGTTGGTGTGCCTGTAAAATTTAGTTAACTACCGTAAATTTGCATAAAATATATCGGTAAATTTATATATTCGCCATAAAAAATTCATTTTTGGAATGTAAGATCGCCTCTTTTTTACCTGTTATATAATCCACGTGTACGATCAGAAACTCTCCAAATGAATTAATTAGATTGAATCACGGCGATCAATGTCACAGGATTCAACAGAATTAACAATTTCCAGACGTAAATTCTCCTTTCTCAAAAAGAATTAATAATGCAACGCAATGGCAGGAGCATGATTTCACCTTCATTGTGCGACACGTCATCCCTATATTCCTACGTGGCATGATCCTACCGGCTACCGACAACAGCAACCCTCGGCGCACATAGCTAACGTGCACCATTTTTGTCACCTCTGTCTTATTTTACGCGTTCTGTTTCTCTTTCTCCCGCTGTCTAAGCTAAGAGAGCTCTCGTCTCTCTCTCTCTCTCTCTCTCTCTAAGCACAAATCTAACCTCTGTAAGTTTTTCTGTGCGTCTCCCAATAAGTTCTTTCTCGAATTCGTTTCAATCGTTTCTTCTTTTGATTCGCCAATAGAGTTCTCTTCTCTTTTCTCTTTTTGGCCTAAAGATCCGCAATGAATTGCTCGATTACAGTGATTCCTCGTGATTCGTGCTGATTCAATCTGTAATTCCATTTCTTTGACGCTATTTCATTTTTGTTCCGGTATATTTGCTCGCTTAATCGCTGAAACAGTTAAGATCTCTGAAGTATTTTCGCAACTCAAGGTACTAACCATAGCTTAGCAGTTACATTTTAGTAATTTTTCTGGTTTTAGGGTTTTGGCTGATTGTTGTTATTTTGCGGTTACAATGGTTTAATTTGGAACTCGGTTTCTTGCTTTAACATGGGATTTTGATTTTGGAGTCTAGGATACTCTAATGAGACGCCGCTCTGCGGCGACGGCCCCTTTTGAACAAATGGAGAAAGGGCCTGGTAAAAATCAACAGAATCGTCTTTGTTTATTGGCATCTCTCTCTGCTTTTTTTTGGCTTCTGTTATTGTACTTTCATTTTGTTGTGTTAGGAAGCAGTAATGTTGATGATACTGTTAAATTAGAGTCTCATCCACTAAATCCTGAATCGACCCCTGCTTTTCTAACTGATGCCCGTTTGACAAATAACCCATTGAGAACTACCCCTTTAATAGATGCCTCGTCAAAAAATGCCTCAACTAGCAGTGGCAGTAAAAAGAGAGAGAATTTCCAGTTTATGAGGGCTTTGAGAACTATAGAGAATAAGAGTGATCCTTGTGGAGGAAAGTATATATATGTCCATGATTTGCCTCCTAGGTTCAATGAGGATATGTTGAAGGAGTGTAGGAGTTTGAGTCTTTGGACTAATATGTGCAAGTTTACTAGTAACGCTGGGATGGGACCCCCACTGGAGAATGTTGAAGGGGTCTTTTCAAATACGGGGTGGTATGCCACAAACCAGTTTGCGGTGGATGTGATATTCAGTAATAGAATGAAGCAGTATGAGTGCTTGACAAATGATTCTTCCCTTGCCGCAGCAATTTTTGTGCCATTTTATGCAGGGTTTGATATTGCTAGATATCTTTGGGGATATAATATCTCTAGGAGAGATGCTGCATCTCTTGATTTGGTCAATTGGCTTATGAAAAGGCCAGAGTGGGGGATTATGGGAGGGAGGGATCATTTTTTGGTGGCAGGGAGGATAACATGGGATTTCAGGAGGTTATCCGATGAAGAATCGGATTGGGGCAATAAGCTACTGTTTTTGCCAGCTGCAAAGAATATGTCGATGCTTGTGGTCGAATCAAGTCCATGGAATGCGAATGACTTTGGCATTCCTTATCCAACCTATTTTCATCCTGCAAAGGATGATGATGTGTTTATTTGGCAAGATAGGATGAGGAATTTAGAAAGAAAATGGCTTTTCTCTTTTGCTGGGGCACCACGCCCTGATAACCCGAAATCAATTAGAGGGCAGATCATAGATCAGTGTAAGCACTCAAAGGTCTGCAAGTTGTTGGAATGTGATTTTGGGGAGAGCAAATGTCATTCTCCCAGCAGTATAATGCAAATGTTTCAGAGCTCCCTTTTCTGCTTACAACCTCAGGGCGATTCATACACACGAAGGTCAGCTTTTGATTCGATGTTGGCAGGTTGTATTCCTGTCTTCTTCCATCCTGGCTCAGCTTATACGCAATATACTTGGCATCTACCCAAGAATTTTACTACTTATTCAGTGTTTATTCCAGAGGATGATATCCGGAAAAGAAATGTCAGCATAGAGGAACGGCTTAGTCAGATTTCTCCTGAGCAAGTGAAGATCATGAGAGAGAAAGTTATTAGTCTCATCCCAGGGCTTATATATGCTGATCCTCGCTCAAAATTGGAGACATTGAAGGATGCTTTTGATGTTGCTGTCCAAGCAGTTATTGACAAAGTCACAAGGTTGAGGAGGAACATTATTGAAGGCCGTACAGAATATGATAATTTTGTGGAGGAAAACAGTTGGAAATATGCTTTATTGGACGAAGGACAACGTGAGGTAGGAGCTCATGAATGGGATCCCTTTTTTTCAAAACCAAAGGACGGCAATGGCGATTCTGGTGGTTCCTCTGCAGAAGTTGCAAAAAACTCGTGGAAGAACGAGCAGAGAGGTCAATCATGAGATCTAGGTGATAGCATAGCAACAGAAGTTAGTAATTATTACTGTACAACAACTGCGTACAACAAGACCTTGGCTTTGATAGGTCAGGTATGGACCCTTGCGAGGGCCTTGCAATGAAAAATTTGTAGAGTTCATAATGGCCCAGTTCCTTGTTTTGTCAAACAGAAACACGGGCTCATCATATTCTCTGCTTCTAATATACTTCTTATAATGAAAGTTTTACCCCTTTGCATTTTGTATTTTTCTTGGCAATTCTTTCTATTGTATTGTAGCTGCTGAGATAATATCTTTTTGTTTCTTTTCTGATCTTTTTTGCATAGAAGGAATTATAATAAAAATGAGTGTTTTATATTTTTATCCTAGAGCTATTTGTTTCTTTTCCAATCCTTGAAGTATGTTCTATACAGCTTAAGCTTTTTAGTGTAGTACTTGAGGATCGAATATACTTTTATATGCTTTTGCCTACTTGCATTCATCCTATTCTACGCCACCATAAAAGCTATTGCATTAATCCATAGTTGTCATGTCTAACTATCTTTTTTTTTTTTTTTTTTTTTTTTTTTTTCTAACTATCTGAATGCTCTTTTTTTTTTTTTTTTTTTTTCTTTTTTTTGAGTATTCCATGTCTAACTATCTGAATGCTCGAGATTTCTCACTTTTTATTTTTGGTCTATTGTCTATTAATTAACATGGGCTTAGAGTTCATTCAGGCGAGGTATTTAGGTTCATTATCTTGTGTTATTGCATATTGTGTTGCATTTGCTCACAGGAAGCATTACTGCAAAATTCTTTTGAAGTTTGTTGAACAAAAAAGCGGACGTGTCGTCATATTATGGACAGAGAGCAACTTTTTTGTACATGAGTTGTCCAAAGTGTACCCAGCAGTTGTGAAATTTCTGCAAGCTGTGTGCTCTGTTCAACACGGAAATGTTATCAGCACATGTGAAAGATGCTATAGTGGGTACAGAACATACACTGGTTTGTTGAATTGGCTTTTAGTATTTGAGGTCTTCAAGAACTCTCTAAGCCAAGAAAGGCGGGGAGCTTTGAAATTTTTTTTGAAAAAAATTGAAATTAGCTGGCATGCAAATGTTCATGTCTGTGTGAAAGGGCAAAATGAAAACCAATTTCCCGTTTGTTTTTCTCTGGCTGAAATTTTGTCTGTCACCGGTGGCATGGAACACCCCACCCCCCACCGCACCGCCAAACAGAAGGGAGCCTCCACTGTCAGAGAAGCAGATAGGGATTTTGAGTAGTTTTATCGAGATCAGAAACTAATTATGCAAAAGCTTGCTATTGATTTGCTGGAAATTATTGTCTTAACTTGTAAGTATGATTGAACAAATTGTTAAAATTTATTTTCAAGATAAATTTTATTTTTTGTAATTATAAAATCTTTCAAACAAATAAATAATGATTCATCTACGGGATTCACCTACGGATTTATAATTTTAAACTGTGACTAAATCTCAAACTGGATTAGGTTATCCTAATAACAAAGTCCAGTATAGGTAATAACAAAAAAATAATAATAATAATAAATAAACAACAATTCTAAGCCTACCAAACTTGGGTGTAGAGTCTACTCCGAAGCGGGGGCACCAGTGATGTTTATCTTTTAACTCCTTGTTCATTGGAAAGTGAAATAGAGCTGCTATAGGCATTTAATTTTTGAAGTCCAGCCCAAGCCCATTTCGAAGGGGATGCAATCCACATACACACTCCAACCTCAATCCACTCAAAACTCACTTTGGTTTCTGCTAAGGTTTCTATTTCTGGTGACATGAAAAATTTATTTTTCAACCGCCAAATGTATATAATTTATTTATATATTTTATGTAAAAAAATCTTGTAGCATTCTAAATTCTAAATTTTACGAAGAACTTATTATCCTCGTAAAGATAAACTTTAATAAATATTAGATACATCCCTAAGCCAGAAGAATTTTTTTTTTTTCATATATTTAGTTTTTATACATAAAATATTCATTTGTGTGGTTATTGCAATTTTTTTAAAAAAATATTTTTTACATTTTCAACCGTCAAATAGATATTAATTGATCTAAATTTAAAAATTGAAGCATTTCATAGAAAAATTTGCAAATTAAATTGTTTAAAATGTATAATTTTATAAGCTTCAACATTTAACTGGTCAAAGTAAAAATTGAAGGTGTCACAATATTTTTTTTTAAGTAAAGCACATATATAAATTACTGCATTTAGTCATTATTCAACTAAACTGATCCTTCTTTTATCATCTTTGTCTCTAATACCTAATAGAATTTAATTAATTTTCAAAAATCTCTCTCTTCATAAAATTATTACTACATTCATTAAAATAATAGTTAATTATAATCCAATCCAAGATTTAAAAGAATGACTCTTTTTATCCTCTTTGTTCCTCTAATGTTCAGTACAATTAATTTTCATAAATATATTGCGTCATAAAGAATGGTGAGAAAATCAATATATGCAGCGACGCACAAGCTGCACGGGAAGAAGGGAGCCATGGAGTGCAAACATAGAGCTGTGAGCATAAATGCACTTTGAACAAAGCATTAAATAACAGAAAGGACCATCTCTCTTGCTTCTTCCTTCATTCTTCTTTTCCCAGTCCACTTTTCTCTCTCTTATTTCTTGAGGAAAAAAAAAATCTCTTTCAAGACAAGACGAGGACAATCTCAAGGACAACCTGAACACAACACAAAAAAGATTCAAAGGTTTTCAATCTTTTAAGAATCCTACAAAAATTCTATTAAAGCTTTCCCATAACATCTCGTGAAACAAAGACGAAATATTTTCAGCTCCTCAATAAGCCAGAGCTCTATCTCTCTCTCTCTCTCTCTCTAAACAAAAGATCCTCGTGATGCAGAGCTCTTAAATTTCACGAGTTTCATATTCTTTCACTCAGAGAGCGCAGAAATGCTTAGCCTAACACAGTTTTTTGAATTCTCTCCAACTCCTTCAAATACTCTCCAATTCTTTCCAAGAATCATGCATTTTCCATCTTCAAGCATCACTTCAATCTTAAGTTATCCATGGAAGCCAAAACTAACCTTTTCTTTTCCATTATTTTCTTTAACTTTCTTTCTCTCCAAGCCAACACTCTACAAACCTACATAGTTCAGCTCCACCCACATGGCATAACAAGATCTTCCTTCTCCTCCAAGTTTCACTGGCATCTATCCTTTCTTGAACAAACTGTTTCCTCCGTAGAAGACTACTCTTCTCGGCTTCTTTACTCTTATCGTTCTGCCATGGAAGGTTTTGCAGCTCAACTCTCTGAATCGGAGCTCGAGTCATTGCAGAAGTTGCCTGATGTTATTGCAGTTAGGCCAGATAGGAGAATACAAGTTCACACCACTTATTCTTACAAGTTCTTGGGACTTAATCCTAATGGTGCAGATGCTTGGTATAAGTCTAAGTTTGGTCGCGGGATGATTATTGGGGTTCTTGACACTGGAGTTTGGCCAGAGAGTCCAAGTTTCAATGACCAAGGAATGCCACCAGTTCCTAAGAAGTGGAGAGGTGTTTGCCAAGAAGGGCAAGATTTTAATTCTTCTAATTGTAACAAGAAACTCATTGGTGCAAGGTTCTTCACTAAAGGTCACCGTGTAGCATCTGCTTCATCATCAAACATTATTCAAGAATATGCGTCTCCAAGAGATTCTCATGGGCATGGAACTCACACATCATCCACTGCAGCAGGAGCTGCAGTCCCAATGGCAAGTGTTCTTGGTAATGGAGCTGGTATTGCACGAGGGATGGCTCCTGGTGCACATATTGCAGTGTACAAAGTTTGCTGGGTCAATGGCTGTTACAGCTCAGATATACTAGCTGCAATGGATGTTGCAATCAGAGATGGTGTTGATGTACTTTCCCTTTCTTTGGGAGGCTTTCCATTGCCACTTTTTGCAGATAGCATAGCAATTGGCAGTTTTCGAGCAGTAGAGCATGGAATTTCAGTTATATGTGCAGCAGGAAACAATGGTCCTCTCCAGAACTCAGTTGCCAATGAAGCTCCTTGGATTGATACCATTGGTGCAAGCACACTAGATCGAAAATTTCCCGCCATAGTTCAATTAGCTAATGGAAAATTCCTTTATGGAGAATCCATGTACCCAGGTAACCAGTTTTCAAAGACCGTAAAAGAGCTTGAACTAGTTTATGTAACTGGTGGGGACACAGGAAGTGAATTTTGCTTCAGAGGCTCTCTCCCAAAAGCAAAAGTACATGGCAAAATGGTGGTTTGTGATCGAGGTGTCAATGGAAGGGCAGAAAAAGGACTAGCTGTGAAAGAAGCTGGTGGAGCTGCAATGATATTGGCCAATACAGAAATCAACCTTGAGGAAGACTCGGTGGATGTTCATGTATTGCCTGCAACATTAATTGGTTTTGCAGAATCAGTGCGCTTGAAAGCTTACATAAACTCTACCATTAAACCAAGAGCTCGAGTATTATTTGGCGGAACTGTCATTGGGAGATCCAGAGCACCAGCAGTAGCTCAGTTTTCAGCCAGAGGTCCAAGTTTAACTAACCCTTCAATCCTCAAACCAGATGTAATTGCGCCTGGAGTAAATATCATTGCAGCATGGCCTCAAAACTTAGGCCCCACTGGTCTTCCAGAAGATTCTAGAAGAGTAAATTTCACTGTCATGTCGGGGACATCCATGGCTTGTCCCCATGTCAGTGGAATTGCTGCCCTCATCCGCTCAGCTCATCCCAGATGGACCCCTGCTGCTGTTAAATCTGCAATAATGACTACTGCAGATGTAACTGACCATTCAGGAAATCCAATAATGGATGGTAACAAAACAGCAAGTGTTTTTGCAATCGGAGCAGGGCATGTAAACCCAGAAAGAGCCATCAGTCCAGGATTGATATATGATATCAAGCCAGCTGACTACGTAATTCACCTATGCACACTTGGATATACAAGATCAGAAATTTTCACCATCACACATAGGAATGTTAGCTGCAATGAGCTATTGCGGATGAATAAGGGTTTCAGCCTCAATTACCCTTCCATTTCTGTTATTTTCAAGCATGGAATGACAAGCAAGATGATCAAGCGGCAACTGACAAATGTGGGGAGTCCTAATTCCATCTACTCAGTGGAAGTAATGGCTCCTGAAGGAGTCAAAGTGAGAGTAAAACCTCAAAAACTTCTTTTCAAACACATAAATCAAAGTTTGAGTTACAAAGTGTGGTTCACATCCAGGAAGACAATAAGAAGAGAGCAACAGAGCTTTGCACAAGGGCATTTGACATGGGTGCACTCTCAAAATAATTTTTACAGGACTAGAAGCCCCATTTCAGTGACTTGGAAGTATAAGTAGGAGAGTTACAGCATCGCTGATGGTTATGAACCAAATGGTCTAGTCTTTTGTTCATCATTGATGTAGATTCAGAGGAATTGAAATCACATAGAGTTGAAATGGTTGAATTTAAAGATCGGCTACTTAGCTACATTTTATTCAGAGAAATAAAGCTTTATTCTCTTTCCCTCAAACAAAGACATGCATGAATTGGCATACTGCAGAGATGGAAATTCAAACATAGACTAACTTCTCTACCAATTTGATTCTCCAATGAATAGAACAAAATGCTACCATTTACATATATGAGAATCGATACAATCAATAACAAGGAAAAATGTTCAACGTGTCCTTACTTGAGTAGCTAAATGTGAAGTGCAGCAGCTGGCAAGCTAGTTCATATTGACCAACTAAAATCTTTCTTAAAAATAAGACTACACATAATGCAGGAAAAAAAAATTGCAGGACATGAGCCATCTTGCTTGTACGTTTATATAATGGAAGAGTTAAAATTGTACATCACTAAGAACTGCAAAAATTTGTTAAAGAGAGGAGGAATATGGTGGTTACAACCATCCTGTGTGCACATTAATGGAGATGTTGAGGTTTTCCTTTACTAAAAAAGACAAAGCCAATAAGGTGAAAGCTGCAAAATCGAAAGAGACATACATTGCCTTATTTTTTGATGAACTGTAAGCCATTTGCATTAGCATATCGCTCCATGAATCTCATGAATCTGTCCCACTCACGAGGAGTACGCATGACGTATTTTGCCTCAATTAGAGCTGGCTTTCCATTTACAAATTTAGCATTAACATCAACTGATTGGAGAACTCCTTCCTCATCAATCATGTAAAAACCAGTTATATCACCAAGTTCACCAGAAGAGTCAAAAACAGAAGGCTGGTCAAAGGTGAAAATGGCCATACCATTTGTACCATCTCTTGACTTGGTTAGCCTTACATCTGGTATCGTTTGTTCATCAGTTCCTTGGACAAATTGGATTGTTGGTTTGACCATCATTGTTATAAATCTCGATGCTTTATTATGCCTAATTGAAGCCAAACGAGAATGGGGCAGGCAGAAAGACTGGCCATTGAATGAGGATCGGACACCACAATGGACAGGCGAAGACACTGAGCCTACAAAACAATACAGGCATTGTATTTCAGTTACCAGCCATTATAAAAACTAGTCTATCAAATCATTTAGTGAGTGGCTAAATTCTTGTTCTCTTATTTTCACAAAAATTTAGCTTACACGTAATTGATATTAACATGAAAAAGAAGTAAACTATTTCTTTAAGGCTTGAAATCCGAAATGCTTCCATAGCCTAATAATAGTGATTCTTGAACACTACATTTTTCCATGTTGCTTAATAGATGAAAGATGCCAAGAACTTCCATTTCTCATGTTATAATAAGGGGTACGATACAGTCATTTTTCTAAAATTCCCAACTGTCTCACTTTCTGCACCAATCCAAAGATCAAATAATTTCGCATAAAATAAGTTCATTACTCTTTTATAAACATCAGGGTAATCAACTAATCAAATTAATCTAAAGAAAGAAGGAAACTTTATGTAATTGATGAACTCCAAAAAGTTAAATAAAAGGATTAGCTTATAATCAAAAGAATTCCAAAAAAAGAAAAAAAAAAAAAGAAAAGAGAAGAAATTCATGAACCTATATGTAATTAACAACAAATTTACTCCTGAGCACAGTTCTAATGCCAATAAAAGAATTTAAATAGTACCCAGTTGGTGAAAGTAGAAGTACCTAGGAAAGAGCGTGGTTGGTGCAAATAATGTGAGACCGGAGAGGCCAATGCAAGAGATTGCAGAGCTGCCATTGAGTGAAGATATGGAAGAGAAAGAGAGAAAAATGAAAGAAGAGGGACTTGCTTATAAAAGAGAATTTGGTGTGGCTTTGGGACAAGATGGTGTGTAAAAACGACAGCCATTCACTTAAACAGGGACATTCTTAGCATCATCACAAGGATTGGTAGCAAAACGATGTAGTGATAGATATCAGACTTAGGTTGTCATGCAGAGCTGGAATATCTAACAACTGACACGTGGCGTTCCATGTTGTTTTGGGCCAAAATTAATGGGCCTTAATTCTTCAGATATTTCAATTTGAATATTGGATTCGCAATTAATTGGGCCTTTCAGGGCTGATTGGTCGCCGAGAAAAGGCAAGAAAACAACGGAATTACCAGGATTGTAAACGAAGCCGTAGAGGAACAAAAAATCCTTATTGAGGGTCAAAGTTGCAATCTTTTCCACGAAAGCGTCGACAATCATGCACCCTCTTGTACCAAATCATACACCACCTAACTTGGAACAACTCTTTTTTTTGTTTTTTTTTTTCGTCTCATGTCTCGTTGACAATAAATAAACAAATGTTATTGAAAAATTAAATTATTTCATTTTATCATAATGCATTGAACATCCTGAGATTTTCATTGTACATTTAATTTGGAAAGGAAAGAAATTAGTACCATTGTTACTCAAAATTGAGAAAAAGAAAATATAACATTAATGATATTCACGTTCTAGCATTATTGATTAAGTGGTGCAATGAATATATTTGGTTGTTTGATTTATATTTTTAATTTATTAGTTTTAATTTAACGTGTATAATGTAAATATATTGAAAATATACAAAAATAATACGTAGCATTTTAAAAAAATATATTTTTTTTGTTAAATATGGATTTTTCATTATGGAAAAAGAAATGGAAAAAAAGAGAAAAGAGCATTAGAATAAGTCGTTTAATATAAAGAAAATGTTGTATGTGAAATTGACCAAGTGTAAGCCAATTAGGGTTTGAATGATAATATAGAGGGGACCAAAATGTGTAATAAATACATAAACAAATAAAATGTGACATTAGGTGCTTTTTTTTTTTTTTTAATTTTGACATTGTCAAAAATAATATTTGTGGAAAATGAAAATGATAATTAAAGTAAATAACAAATATTCAAAGGATTAAAAAAGCTAAATAAGTCTATATTGTGCCATATGGATGTTGATCGTACGGAATACACAAATTAATGTTCAATTTCTCATTTTTAATTCACACATATATTTCTTTTAATATTAGGAAAGAGAATTGGAATTGAGATGTTTATTAAAGTTTTATATAATTTTATTTTTTAAATTAACTCCTTAATTATTCTAATTTATGTAATATCTATATTTGCAAATATATATCACTAATCTCTTACACTCCATTTGTTTTGAAAACTATTTTTTTTTATTTTTCTCATTTTTTAATGTTTATGTAAAAAAAAAATAAATCAATGAAAAATATTTTTTTTATGAATGAAAACTAAATATTTTTTAAAAAATAATAATTTATATTTTCAAAAGATAAAATTATTTTATAACTTTGAGTAAATAGAAAGAGATTCTTTAATAAAAAAGAATTTAGTTCAGATGTATGATATTTATTCAAAAGTTTTCATAACTTAATCATGTACGATGCACTTATTAAATAATTTATAATGAACTAAAATTGATTATCATTTACTCTGATTGCATCTACGGTTTTTTGAATAATGTAATATTTTACGACAAATAAATTTTTATTAGATTACTAATCATTAGTACTCACTATAAATTATTTTTTATCCATTTTTTTTCAGATACAACAATAAATTAATTAAAAAAATAAGTTTTTGCAAATATGAATATTCTTTGAGTCTACAAGTTAAAAATGTTAATGTTTTCAAATAATTTTTTAATATTGTAAACAAATAATAGAAAATAAATTCTTTGAATTAATATATCTTCTCCGCCAACCCGTGACAATAAGTACAAAGATTTGACTTTGGCAGTTTGAGTTACGAGTTACGACACTCCTCTTTATTTCCAAAAGCCGAGTGACGGACTCAGTCTTCCAATTCCGATCCCACCATGACCCACGTCCTGACCGCCGGCCCACCTTTTCTGTTTTACATTAAATTCTCAATTTTCCTGCAAACTTGGACTTTTTTTATGTATATACGCTTTCTCTAAAACCAAAACGTAAGCAGCAATCCATTCACCAACTCTGTTTTCAAAAATTTTCTTCGTTTCTGGTATTCAGTCCAAATCTTCAAGCGCTAGCTATCCATCCCTTACTTTAAACCAATCTGAAGAAATCACTGAAAGAAGACGTCTTTTGACCAAAGATGCCTGAGATGGGAGCACTGGATGAAGGAGGAATAGCCAGGCGGTTTTGGATCAAGTCGAAAAAATACTTATTCTTTGCTATGTACAGTCCTTACTTTGCTAGCTTGGCCTCTGGTAATTTGGACTCTTGCTCTTTTCTCCGTTGTATTTCTCAAGATGTCCATTTTCTCAAAGCATTCGCTCAAGCGTAAGCATTCGCTTAATTTTAAATATTGTTTTTATCAATTTTTGTTAATTAGATGAATGTAATTTAATGACTAAATTGTTATTTACTTCCATAATTTTCAGATATGAATTGGCTGAAGAATGTGCAGACGATGAGGAAGACAAGAGCGCGATTCGCAAGTTAAGAAAACGCGTCAAAAACAAGCTTAAGAACTACGACGCTATTGTCCATGTATGCTTCCTAATATCAATTCCCACTTTTTCTTTTTCTTTGTTTTTTCTTCAAATTATGAACTTTCTTGAGCATGAGAGAGTCCTGAATATACTGATGTTGATCTTTGACTCTTGCTTGCTCCACTAAATCTAACACTGTCAAAATGGGTTATTGAATTTGTGGGGTTTCTAATTTGAATCGAATTTTCAAAACTACCCGTCAATTTTGTTACGAATGAACTTTTGATTCTGAATTTGTCCAAACATTGGCAGAGGTCCAGAGGAGATTTGACGTCTCAATAATTATGCTCTTCAGTTTATTCGCACCATAAAAATGCAGTCTTGGCATTTTTCTATGATCTATCATCTTGATTTTCTTTGTTTATATTTGAGTGATTGGCAAGTGATACCCTATTGTATACATTTATTTAATAAAAATGTGTTTATGGATTTAGGCTGTTCATGTCTGTGTCCAATGCTAGTGGTTACAGGGAAATGGATAAAAACTGAACTGTATTCGTATTTGCATTATATACTCAAGCAAATTATGTACAGGAATGGGGCTTTGAACCTCCAGCGGATAGGACTTCTCTCCTTGCCACCCAAAAGTATATAGATTTTTTGCTGGCAACAGCCTCAGGAAAAGTTGAAGGAGAAAAATTTCCTGGTAAAATTGCAACTCCTTTTGAGAGGATAAAACTTGCTGCTTACACTCTTGGTGCTATGGCGCCTAGCATGTTGCTGCATGCCTCTATAACTAAAGAGATACAGCAAATTCTTGATCCTGATGATAGCAGTCACATTTACAAGAAGTGGATTGACTACTATTACTCTGAAGGCTTTGAGGTTTGTTAGATTACTGTGCATTTTACTTTCTAACTTGGCTTTTTCTCTGCAAGAACTACGAAGAATGCTTAGCTTATTGATTAAGAATTTCCTTGCCACTTAACCCGTTTATTTGCTGATTTCAGGCTGCAGCTCTGCAACTAGAAGACATGCTGGATAAACTTAGCATCTGTTTGACAAGCGAAGAACTTGATGTCTTAGAAAGACTATACCTTCAGGCTATGAAACTTAAAGTGGATTTTTTCGCTACGCAACAAATTGTCCAGAAAACATTAGTGCCTTTGTCTAGGTTGCAAGGCCCTGATGATTTCCACCTTACTGTATTTTGTGATTTTGACATGACATGTATTGCTGTTGATTCCTCTGCTGTTTTAGCTGAGATTGCAATTATAAGAGCACCAAAGATTGATCTCAATGGATCTGAAACCCAACTCACTCATATGCCATCAGCTGATTTGAGGAGCACATGGAGTGTTCTTTCGGCCCAGTATGTGGAAGAGCATGATCAATGCATAGAAAGCATCATTCCTGCCGAACCAGGTTTACTAACCCTTTTCAGTTGAATCTTTTAGTTTTATGCCTTCTAGCTTTAAGATGGTACAGCCATTACTGAGATAACATGTCTATGGAATGTTTCCTTCTGTTGCAGCGGAAAAATTTAATTACGAAGGTCTAAGCAAAGCTCTTGAACAACTAGCGGATTTTGAGAAAAGGGCAAATTCAAGAGTGATTCAGTCAGGAGTACTGAAGGGTTTAAATCTAGAGGATATAAAGCGGGCTGGTCAACAACTC